GTTACTTCCAAACTGTAATACATTAGGTATTACTTGTTACTGTTATTTAAAAGTAATTCATTACCTTACAATATTACTGTCCCAGAATTGTAATGCGTTACATTACTCATGTATTACTTTTGAGTTACTTTCACCAAAATAACTAAGTAGAACTATAACTTTTGGGCTGTAACGATATGCAATATGAAACCGAAATCGCGATTCGCCACATCCACGAACCTACAGAATCGCGACACACCTCTTCCAACTCCAGCGTTATTCTCCTTACCGTCCAGATCCAATGCTGCCTTATCTTTAAATTAGGCTATTAGTATTATTTGAAGTTAACATTATAAAATACGTAGACCTACACCACAAAACTATTTGAGGATAAATTATTTAAAATTGGGGAAGTCCAGCATTATGGACATGACATTTGCAGTCAAAACTTGAAATAAAAATTCTCAGAAAATTCATGTATTGAAATGTATATAGGCTACTTCCTTAAAGGACTCCAGACATTAGACAAATATCAGTCTATGTTTTATTTTTATTATTAGGAAAAAGACACATTCATGCGTAACAAAAAAATAGGAGGTAAAATATATTTTTTGTAATTCTGTTAATTACACTGCGCAAATCGGATGAGGAAGGGTTGGCTCTCCAGTCTCCATAGAACTTAAAATATTCATTTTATTTCAGTTTTCGTGTTCGTTTATGAGGAAAAAACAATGTTACAGACGCGACCGCTCTGAACTGGCACTAAAAGACTGCTTTAAAACTTTCACATAGTCTGTTGCCTTTAATAAGTAAAAGCAGACAATACACTGTAATACAACTGTAATACAAGCCTCACTGTACATGTAACGAGTAAAATATTACTGAAAATTGATTAGTAATGCCTTACACTACTGCGTTACAGCAAAAAGTAATATGTTACTGTAATGTATTACTTTTGTAATGCGTTACTCCCAACACTGATGATGATATTGTTTATTTTATTAACTAATGACATAGACAACAGTAGGAATATAAGTCTGCTGTCACTTTAAGAATGCACGGACCGATACTGACACACATCCGTTCACTTTTGACATATCCAAGAGAATACTTGCCGAGATAATCAATTTTGTCCGTTCCGTTCAAGCACAAGTAAAGGTGAAAGAGGATTCAATTTGGTGTTCGAGCTCTCTCTCTCTCTCTCTCTCTCTCTCTCTCTCTCTCTCTCTCTCTCTCTCTCTCTCTCTCTCTCTCTCTCTCTCTCGTTCTCTTTAAAGTCGTTTGAATGAGTAAATTCGCAAGACAAAACACAATAAATTTTAACTCTAGATGGTTAAATTTAGCAGTTAATACGTGAATCACACATCACATGCGTGCCTAACCGTGGCGTCTGGTCTGTACTAGGCTATAGTATCGATCAATAATTAATGTAGCTACACACTTATCATCATGATTGCTATCTTACCAGAAATGAAGAAAAATCTTTCTCCAGCAAGTAAACGTGCCCCTGTCTGTCCCCAAAAATGTTGGGAAAGCACTTCCCTCCATTCTGTTGCGCATAATTTATTTTTAACACGCATGCGCACGCACGCTTTGCAGTGATAATAGGAAATGAATGCAACAAAGATTGTTTTGGATGTAGGCTTACTAGAGGAAAGTTATTGTCTAGCTGAAGTACGTTTTTAATCGATTAATTCCCGTTGTAAAAATCATTACAGCTAATGATTCTTGGCAATATTGACAGAAAACTTATGTGTTCTGGCCATTCATTTCACGACAACTCCGTTTGTAAACTATAAGCTATTCTGTATGAGGCTCTTTATGTTATATTATGTGCAGGACTGTAAAAGAGTGCTACCCAAATTATCATTAGCCTCATTTATTTATTTGCATTGTATTTTATTTTAGCCTATATTTTTAAAAACTCCTCTATTTGCACTCCAGCTTAGAATTTCTTTCCCACTATTAATAGCCTGAATTATTGTCAGTCAACCTTAAATAACAGGTCTCAAAACCCTCAGCCTCTGAAAGGTTAAATTGCACTTCAGAGTCGTTCACATTTATGTATGACCGTCTCACATCTGTCCTTGAGTAACAGTAGAGCTCTCAGAAACATCCTCCAGAATTGAAGAACATTGCTACATTCACCCAATGGAATAACTATATATATATATATATATATATATATATATATATATATATTCTCAGTGCAAACACTAGTCTCACCGTGAAATGAATAGTTAACTGCAGATAATCGATGGTGTGATGGCCTCCAGGAAGAATACACTTTGGCTTGAGAGCAGCTGCCATTAAACATGACAAATGGGATCCATCTTGAACTGTTGGGTTATGGTGTTGTTTGAGACTCCTCTTAGAACTGTGTTTGGAAGAGGGGCTTTTCTGTTTTTATGCATTCAGGTCACAAGAGCCTGTGTGTTTTATTGGTGCCTGAGAAGAGGGGAACATCTAATCATATCAAAAACAACAAATCATATTTTTATGAAGATGTGCAGTTATACAGGTCGACTTGCTGGACTTTTTTTTGTCTGACATTTTATTGGAAAATATGTATAAACCATGAAAAGTTTGCGGTTTTAAGGCACAATTTATTTTCTTCTTTTCTCAATGTATTGAGAAACAGTAGTATTGTGAAATACGATTGCAATTTAAAATAACTATTTTCATTTCATTCATTTCATTTAGCTGCTGCTTTTATCCAAAGCGACATACAATTGCTATATACTGTATGTCAGAGGTCGCACGCCTCTGGAGCAACTAGGGGTTAATTGTCTTGCTCAGGGACGCATCTCACAGTGGATTCGAACCCAGGTTAACTTAAGTATATTAAAATATAACTATTTTAGTATACTTAAGCTGAATTTTCAGCATCCTTACTCCCTCATAAATCATTATAATATGCTGATTATGCTGCTCAAGAAATATGTATTATTTTCACCAATGTTGAAAACAGTTGGGCTTGCTTAATATTTTTGTGGAAACATACTTTTTTATGATAATTTTTTGATGAATAGATGAATGGAAAGAAATGGTTGACGAATAGAAAGTTCAAAACATTGTCATGTCACATTATAAATGTCTTTTCTGTCACTTAAATTAAATTAAATTGATCCCTACTCAAAAATCCCTACTCAAAAAGAAGTAGCACCTTGTATTTCCTTCAAAAAAAAAAAAAAATCTTACTGACCCCAAACGTCTTTTTTCAAAGGGAAATATGTCAACAAAGGAAATAAAATTGTGATTTTCGTACCTGAAAATTACATGAAAATTAATACAATCTTTTTCTCTTGATTAGATTGCTCCGCTCTACAATATTTGTATGCTTTTTATGCTGGACAAGAGGGAGTTGCTTCAAAAAGTAAGCACCGAACACATTCATTATTTGTGCAATTTTCTTTGATTTGACTGTGACCATCCTTGCTGTCCTTTGTCAAGGGCTTACTGTGTGTGTGTGTGTTGAGAGAGTATCGACAGCGGCTCTAGAGTTGGCAGTCTTATTGGTGAGGTGAGAGGGTGTGCTCATCTGTGGCGTTAATAAGACTGTTCCCACGTCTGTGACCAGCGTGTGGCTGTCAGTCAGAGTCGTAACCAGGCGTACAGCATTAATTCACTCTGTCGGTGGAGGAATGACCATACTGCTCCGCTCCATTACTCTCTGTGACCCTGGGCCGGAGGAGGATTAAAGTCTGTCACAGTGTAGTGTCACCTCCCCTAGCTTCATTCAGCACACTCAGCAACTCCTGGCTCATAAAGCTGCTTTTTCAAATCCTGTTGATATTTTTTCAGACTTCAGGCCCACCTCTTTTGCAAAATACCACACACTCATCTAACACAACTTGCATATTATTAATTCATGCATTCACTGATAATCAAACCCATGATCCTGGCATTGCTACACCATGACGGTTTAAGGTGCTTATAAATAGTTACATTTATATCCTAACCCTGTCTCATTGCCAGACTTTTGACTTTTGAACCACCTGTTTAGACACCATGACCTATGTAAAGTGCCCAACTACAGTTTGTTTGTCCTGTTGACACTGTAAAATTTTAAGTTCAGGCAACTTGAAGTGTGAAGTTGTAAACTGACAACTTGAATATTTGAGTTAATTGCAACACGTTAAATCCTGGAAAGTTATTTTAAAGAATTGTTTTATTAATTATATTTCATTCTTATTTACTGTTTTTTTTAAAGTTGTGTTTCACAGAAAAAGAAGAATCAGTCGCTTTAGTTTACCTGGAAAGGGCCAAATGCCACACAAACTCACATACTCCCTCCCATAAAGCATTGCAAAGGTCTCTTTACCCTCTTTTAAACAATTTCTATTTGAATTTTGTGGCAATGCTCCTCAAATGCGGTATCTTATAAAATAATGACTTAAAGTGAATTGCATCATTGTTTATGATTCAGTTACATTATGCATAATGCTTTTGTGTGTTTTTTACCTTTGTCTTTTTATCTTATTTATTTAAATATTTGTTTACATTATTTATTTCTTTACTTATAGTATACTAAAAAGTATACTTTTTGAGTATCAATTTTCCTATTTGAATTTTCAAAAAGTGATTATTTCACAAGACCTCAAAAAGCAAAGTGGTGCTTAAGACATTTTTGGATGATCGCTCTAAACCACCACATGTTTATATGCAAAATTGGACATTGACATGTTTGGCAGTCCACCTTTTAATTAATTATACTTAACACATTGATATTGTACTAGTAATTTACTTAGAGCTTAAGCTTATTTGCCTATAGAATAAAATTAATGATTTTGACACTGGCTTACTTCTGTACATAGTGTGCTCTGCCATCTAGTGTATACTCTGTGTCATTACATACTGCTAGATCATGTCTTGTCATGTCTCTTAATCCTTATATAATGGAGGACGTCGTTGCCTTGCTTATAGTTAATGGAATTAGTATTTGTTTATTCCTCTTTGTCAAGTAAAGCACTTTGTTCTATTGTTGGCTAATACGTCAAGTGAACCCAGAGACTGTTTCTTATATTCCTCCTCTTTAATACATTTACATCATTACGGTGAATGAACACAGAAACAGTAACACTAACAAACTCAGAGTTGAATATTGCTAGTTGCACAAAGAAAGTCCTGTGTGCAAGTCTTGGAAGAGGTGAGCTGTTATCTATCCATCACAGATCATCATGTTCCTCGTGCTCTTTTGGAAGCAGGATCTTGGCTTTCATCATGTTCTCTTTCACTGTGCACAAAGAAAGATATAGGAAGGGGAAACGATTAACGCACGCTTAAGTAATAACTGGTAAATCAAATATTAAATAACATTAGCACATTCCGTAGCATAAAGTAGCAAAGAATGTATCACAATGGATGAGCGTGAATAAACAAATGAACAGCTCGGTTCTGCTATTGGGAGCTTCAGATAGTCTCTGAAGAGCTCCTGCCTCTCAGTGGAGCTCATTAGACAGCAGAAACACACTCACAGAAGTCTATGTCTTCTGACTCGTACGTGTACATTCGGTTGGCGTACTTTCCAGTGATATCAGCTCGCACAGTCAGTGAGGGATCTAGGTGGAGGAGAAGAGAAGATGGAAAAGAGTGATTCTCATGACAACTTAACCTAAACACCCCCAAATCAAATCCTTTTACATAAAGAACATGAAAAGGCAGTGCAACAACTATTACTATGTGAAAATACTTTAAAATTTCAATATTAGAAAATAATATAATGTAATAACATAATTAGCCTACACAATATGTTCCTTATCACAATTATATTCATTTCTTTGTACCAGAGACTGTGCAGCGACCTAATGACAATATTTGTTGCTTCTCGAAATCCCATTGATGACAAAAGAATGCATTCTCATTCTGGAGCGTCATCTAACTGACACTTTTGACCATGCCTCTACCGTTTGACCACCGGGTTAGACCACTAGGAGGCGCATCTCATATGCCATGTGCGTCGGGTGTTGACGCGCATGGTCAAAAGCGTCAGTTAGATGACGAGAAGATTGGGATGAGAACGGGCTGAAGATTATACAATATTATCAGATAATCTTTCCAGGTAAACTGAATAAGTCACTGTTTAGGAAATATGTGAGAACTCACCAACAAACATGATCCTGGGGACATAGAAGCCGTCAGGGGCCAAGTTTTTATCGGTGGTTTCATGCTGAAAATCACAATCACTAGGTCAAGAACATTCTTACTGTATTAAATGCATGTCTTACTCCAGTGTCTGTTGAATATTTCACAATATTTGTACTGTACCACTAAATTGAGCATGATGAAATCTGATTTGGCCAGCCTTTGAATAGCTGCATGTTCAGAAAAGGCCTTTTTCAGAGCTAAAAGTGAATAGAGTGGAAGAAGAGATTAATACATTCATATGCATAGCATTTTCTGTATACTGAAAGCAAATACTTATATTCACTGATTATCATCTAAAACAGGGGTTTTCAACCTGGGGTTAGAAAAATGGTGTAAAATAAATAAATATAAGATATACTGTAAATAAATAAATGAATAATTTGATTAAAATATATAAAAAAGTTTTCAAATTAATACATATAATGGTGGCGCTATAGCGCCGAAATAAATTTAATAATGTACCATAATACAATTTTTCCAAATAATTGTTATTATGTTATTATGCATTAGAAATTGGGCTAATAGAACTATAAAGGGTTCCCAGTCAGTCAGTAACGTTTGACTTTACGCCGTCTAGGAGCCCAATCGCCTCCAAGTGGTAACTAAACGAGCCATTGAACATTGGCCAGTGAGATTTGCATGCCGAGTCACACCCACCCGTACATACGGGTATAAATATGACCGGCATTACTCACTTCATTCATATTTTGCATTCACCTTTCTAGAGAAAAAGTACATTTCTGAAACAGAAAGAGCAGATGTGGGCTCGTCGTGGGTTCTCTCTGCTGGGGTGAAGGCGCATCCAGTGGTGTCTCGCATTCAAGTTACTGTGCACGGAGAGGGTTCAGCGTTTCGCCCCTTGACATTTCAGCATTCAGAGCAGTTTCCATAAAAGAGCAAGCATGGGCAGTCAGTGTCTTTTTCAAGATGTCTTTCCATCTGTGTGTTTCTGGATGCAGTCGACTTCATTTGACGGCCATGATCGCAGTCTCTCATGCCTAGTCAAACGGCATTCTGAGAGAGCGTTCGTGGATGGTGCATGCTCTCACTGGGAGAGCATGTCCATGTTGGCATTGCGGTCGTGACTCTCCTTCTTGAATACAGAGGCACAAGTCCCCTCTGCTGCTGCACAGCCCCCCGCCGCTTCCAACCCGATCTCACGACCAAGTCGTACGAATTTGACGAATGATTAAAAAGTGGCTAATTCGTAACAATTCATACGACCTCACTCGTACGAATTCATACGATTTTGCTAAATCGTACTTAATTTACGAATTGGCCAATTCGTATGAATTCGTACCCCTTACCCCGCCCCTAAACCTAACCATCACGTGGGTTTAGACAAATCGTACGAATTAGTACGAGTGAGGTCGTACGAATTAGTACGAATTAGCCACTTTTTAATCATGCGTCGAATTCGTACGAATTGGTCGTGAGATAGTGTTGGCCGCTTCTCATAGTAGAGCCATGGGTCTGGTTAGCACTTTTAGAGATCTAAGGTATACAGTTGGTGCTTCTCTGCTGGGCCAGCCCCCACAGCCATGTGCCATCAAATTGCCAAATGTTTGCGCGGGTCCTTCAAGTGAGGCATCTTGTGTCCCATTCTGCACTCCAGATGAGGATCGAATGTTGATTTGGGGAGTGGGCTTTTGTCCTCTGGAGAGGATGAGGAGGCTGAGCTGCCCCCCTCCATATTCAGAGTTGATGGCCATGCTTTCTTGGGTCACCAAGGGCATAGGGCTCAAGTGGTCCCTCATCAGTGTCCAAATCGCTTGCAGTTAGATGATTGGTTCCTGGGTGCCAGTGTCTTTCTTCCCGGAGTTGCATGAGTTGCATGTGAACTCATGTTCAGAACTCGTGTAAGGCACCTTTTACAGCCAGAAGCCGCTCTTCTGCCTCCTCCACTCTCACTACCTCTACAGAGACCTCCCTTCAAGCCGCAGGAGTCAGTCGAGCGTAAAAACCTGCCTTTAAAGACAGTACTCCTGACTGTGCTCGCTTCTCCTAAGAGGGTGGGGGAAATGCAGATATTTTCGGTCAGCGAATCGTGCCTTGAATTCGGGCCAGCCCTGTCTCACATCATCCTGAGACCCCAGCCCGGGTACGTGTCCAAAGGTCCCACCACTCCCTTTGGGAACTAGGTGGTGAACTTGCACTGTTCCCGGAGGCAGACCCAGCCCCCACGTTGCTATGTCCTGTTCGCACATCGCGTGTGTAGGTGGACCGCAGGCAGACCTTTAGAAGCTCACAGCAGCTCTTAGTCTGCTTTGGAGGCCAGTAGAAGGGAAAAGCTGTCTCCAAACAGAGGTTGGCCCACTGGATAGTGAATGTCATTGCCTTGGAGTACCAGTCCCAGTGAGGGCTCACTCCACTCAGGGTGTTGCTTCATGCTGGGTGTTGGCGCACGGTGCCTCTCTGGCAGACATCTGTAGCGCTGCGGACTGGTCAACAAGACGTCTAAGACGTCTCTACCCATGTGTTTGGTACAAACAGGTAATGTTTAAAGGCTGGCTTGGTGTCTGGCTTGCCGTGCCATTCCCACGTAAAGGGGGATACGAGCGCCTACTTGCTCTTCATGTGAGTTCCCTGCTTGGCAAACCCTGAATCGAGTTCATCCAGCATCCTTCGGTTGTCAGATGCGGCGGAAGAGTCTGACACCAGGTCCGGTCCTTGTGTGCATGCCCTGCCGGTCAGCCCTTGTACTGGACTAGATGCCCATATGATGTGATTCCCCACTCGGTAATCCCATATATGGATTTTACACAATACGGTTTCCCTGTCGGTAACCCTTGTCTTTCCCTGGACAGTTCTGCTATGCCCCATCTCTCCCTGGTTAGGTAGGACCTATACCGCGGAGATCTTCCATATTTAGCTCTGCCCCGTTGGTTAAAGGAACAGCAGGTACTATTGCCGGCAGAGTAAGTCCTGTCCCTTCCATCCCATTTGGTATGGAGGACTACCCCGTGGGCTTACTTGGGGCGCTGGGTAGGTTATGACATTGTGAGAGCAGTTGCCAAATCCATCTGCATCTCCAACACTCGTAAGACAGTTCAGGAAACCCATGACGTCAGTCCAACGTAACGTTCAACGTGACTGACTGAATGGGAATGTCTAGGTTACTGATGTAACCCCCGTTCCCTGAAGGAGGAACAGGAGACATTGTGCCCCTGCCACAGCCCTGAATCATTGCTGAATGGCCTGGATACTGGTTTGGCTTCTCAGCAAAGATGAATCTGAACTGGCCAATGTTCATTGGCTCGTTTAATTACCACTGGAGGTGATTGGGCTCCCAGGCAAGACCACATGACGTCAGTCCAACATAACGGCTCCATTCCCTCCTTCAGGGAACGGGGGTTACGTTAGTAACCTAGATGTTCTTTTGGGCACTTCATATATAGAACCTTTTAAGGGTTCCCATTATGGGATCATTTTATGATTTAGTTTTAGTTAATTATTATTGTAATAAATGTTAATAAACTGGGCCGGCCAGTTTCGATCCCTTTAGAAGCCTATGGAGGAGTGATCCAGCTCACAGATTCAATCAAAAATATCTTAATTTGTGTTCCGAAGATGAACGAAAGTCATACGGGGTTGGAATAACATGAAGGCGAGTAATTGCTGACAGAATTTTCATTTTGGGGTGAACTAACCCTTTAAGCATGCTTGCATATATCTACGGCAAAAGGAAATAATATTTTTTTAAATTTCATTACTGATAATGTAGACAGTTTAAAAAAAGATGCAAGTATGCAAACCTTTACTGTACTGACAATCCTCCAAATGATGAATGATCATCAGTGGCTTCTTACTACGGTAAAACAGATTCATTGTGTATTTAAAATCTGATTATTCATAACATACAAGTGAGAGTGGAGTTTAATGTGATTGCATAATCTTTAGGTACCTCTTATGCGCTTTATTCAGTCCCTCCTCATACGTCTGAACCCAGGTGATGTCATCGCCCCAGCCTGAAAGAAACAAAACACTTTGAATTGGATGTTATGCTACGATCGATTTTCCATAGTATAAGAATACATTTGACTTATTTGGTTCTGTTTGTGAATATGTAATTCATTGATACCTCTTGAAAGAGTTTGGACTGTCTTTTTTTTCCTTTGAGTAGAGACGTCACAGAACACAAAGCATAAAAATAAGACAGAGAACATCCAGTGCTGCATGATTATGGTATGTACTGATGCGCTGAGAGAGAGAAATGAGAGAAGGAAAAGGAAGTCAAAGGTGACCAATCCTCTAAATATTAGTTCGTTTTTAAGGTTGGGCCCATGCACCGACATTGCATAGCATTATGTCAAATTGTTGACAAGAGCTGTTGAACTGGACAAACGTGCTTCTGAAACTTTGTTCTAAAGAGTGACAAATGTTTATATGAATATAAAACAGCTTTTTCATTTGAGGATTGAGATAGACAATTTTGTAATTTAACTTGACAATATTCATGAGACCTAATTAATATTTTAAACTACAACTTTGCCCTGTATAAAATGCTATTACGAATTCCTTAAAGATTTCCCTTGACATTCGAATTGTAACTACAGCTTTGTATACTCTTAAACAACATGGTTTTAATTGTGGCAGTTTTGGAGTAAAATAAAAAAGAAACTCAAGCATTTCAAATGAGAATTATGTGAAACTAATAAGGTACATAGAAGTGCTCCAACAAACAACCCAGCCTTTTATATATGTGGATAATAGATTTAGATTAAGCTTAATTCTGTATCATAGCACACAATAAATCATTTCAAGAATTAAGATAATAGTATTTGCAAGTAAAAGAGAACCTACCGGGAGTGAAACAGGTGAACCAGAGTTATTGTCCCTTTCTCCAAGCATTTTGCACGTCAGGCATTTTATAGTCTCACTCTGTGCAACCTCCCAAACAGGTTTTGCATGCAGGTAAAAAACTGAATTCCTCTGATGTTTATTTAGCCAATCACAGAAACTCAATATACATCCTAATATTGTGTAGTATCTCTAGACAGTTCTTTTTACATCCAAAGATCTTTGCTTTCTTGTCAATTCATTAGAAAAATTATTCTTTCACTCATTCCTATAATGTTTTATTCCAGGTATGAGGTTTGAATATAGGCTAGTTATGCAACAATCTCAGAAACCTGTCAGTTTTAGGTGGAGCCTACGTGCTTAATAGTTATCCTGTATTTGTATTGACCTGATTTGAGGCCTTAAAAGTTTTAAAAGTAGTTTCGTTCTTTCTATCTAAAGATTACCCAGCTGAAAAACACAGTTTAAGATGGTTTCTAGCTGGTAATTTGCTGGTTGATTGACAAAAACACCACATTCCAAAATCCATCAATTTAAGCTGGATTTTCCAATTCACACTGCCCCAACAAATGCCAAAAAACAAAACAAACAGTAACATTTCACGCATAGAGGTCATTACAGAGGATGGCTATTCAAAAAGCATTTTCTTGTGAATGCATGGGTTTTGATGGCATTGCACACCGACCTCTAGTAGACTTTAGTGCATCATCCTAAAACCTTATGCACCAGAGAAACACTCATAAGGGTGCAGCCATCTTTAGAATATTGCCTTTGAACTGATGTTTTTGCTCTGTGCATTGCTGTCCAGTAATGATCAAGTGGATTTACTTAATGTAAAGTTAACTAAAGTTATCATGAGGATTGTAGGCTAATGTTTAAAGCAGATGTCTTCATTTTAAAACGAGCCGTTCATGCATAAATATGCAAGATCTCTGTGAAAATACAGACTGGAAGACAAAAGAGACAAAATGAGGTCTTTACATTTTTTACAGTCTATGGTCTATATATTGCCACCAAGTGACCAAGTGGCAAGCAAAGGGTGGCAAGCCGTTATATGTGGGTTTTTTCCCCTCCAAACCAAGGCCAATCAGAAATGCCAAGTTGCTCTGAAAAATATCAAATCCATTCCTTCTATTGAGAGTGATGAGTCACGTGCCGATTTGGGCGGGGTCTGAGCCGGTCGGCCATAATGGTAGGAGACGCTATCGATTGCCAGGGGCAACACCTTTAGAACTTCACAGAGGCGTGACAAAACATTCCAGAAATAGCTAAAGAGAGACAGCATTAGTGTAGAAAGACAATCCCAGAAAACTCTTGCAGGTAAAAAAAAGTTGTAGCATCAAGTAACAACTAAGGAGTCATATCATTGTTTAATATCATATCATATCATTTTCCGTATTGATTTAATATTGGGAGGGGGAAAACAGGGGGAAAAAATCTTGACTGTGTTTATTATCATAATTCATGTATGAAAGGGTATACCAGCACACTGATCAAAATAGCTAATAGATAATAGATTTTTATAATGTGTTTGTTTTTAAATTATTATCATATTATTCATAAATAATTGAATTGAATTTATTTCAGTTATTGTATTATTATTATTTTATTTATTTTTGTTTTGGTACATTTTTATTAAGTAGATTTACTATTAAATTTAAAAATATTAAATTACTATTAAATTTATAAATAATACATTAGTTAAAAATAACTAAATCTGTATATCTGTGTTTATTGTAATTTAGTTAATGAATTACTACGTATTTATTTATTTTCCATCTGGTGGTTTGTGACACTTAACACTGATATTTGTTTCAGTTTTGGTCTGGAACAAGAAGAGAGACCTGGCCAAAAAAATATATAATGTAATACAACACAACACAACATAATATAATTTAATAAAACAATACATTTGGACAGCTACACTAACAGTCACAACAGTAGACAGCTACTGTTGTTTGTTGTTGTCATGGACACCTGTAGCCTTTGACGACTGCCTAGGTTCCGCGCAAGCGCAGGATCAGCACAGTGGAGGATTGTGGGATAGAAAGCTATCGCCACGGCAACAGCAGAGTTTAGCGAGCAGAAATCTGCTGCTAGCAGAACAGTTACGGCGATTAATTACTAAAGAAACCTCGTTCACACAAAAATACTGGTTTAGTTTGTGACCATGAACGAATCAGTAGCCAAAAAGACCCAGGAGGCTCTGGGAAAAGTGATCAAAAAGCCTCCTCTGACAGAAAAACTGCTCAGCAAACCGCCGTTTCGATACCTGCACGATATCTTCAGTGAGGTGAGTTGCTAAAAACATTATTATTATGACATAAGTGCTGTTTTAGTTCCCTCACTGTCTACATATTCACAGTCACACGGTTCAAATCCTGCATATAGATCTCAACGTGCTAGCCTGCTAATGTAGCCTGCGCATAGTCTTCACAGATAGTTGAATCATAACGTTAACGTTAGATCAGTCTGAACTAGGTCCAAACATCTCATATATTAGCTTTGATATTTGAACACCCAAAGCTTTGCATTAGTCTCAACATTTAGATTATGTTTGTGTTTTGATGGTGGTGAGCAAGCTAATGGATTATTAATAACAATAACAGTTTTAAACAGTGTCAGCAATGTCATCTTTCTTTTAAAATCAGTTTTGGTTTACTGTTATGACATACTCAGCTCTGGTTGAGCTGATTATCTTGTTTCTAGGCATTGCTCTGTCCACATGGTTATGCAAACAAAACTCAAGGGTCCACACAACATCATGAAGGCAGATGATCTTGGGATTCAAGAGATACAACACAGTGATCTACTTCTAAATCTTATGGCAGAATATCTGGAACCAAATTGTAGTGATGAGTTTATGAAATGATATGCCTCCAATAAATGGCAGCAATTGTAAACAAACAGCATCATTCAATGGTTGTTCATTTGACGTGAACCAGAGTGCCCTGTTACACTACAATGCACACTGAATTTAAAATATCAAATGAGAATTAAAAGACAAGTAATTAAATAGTATTTAGAAGTTATTTAATTGTCATGTCATTTTATTTATTCTTGTTTGGTTTTGTTTTATTTAATACATGTACTATTAAATTAATGTCTATGTATAATAAATAGATGTCACATTTAGTTGATCAAATTATATACAGAAAATATAAGTAAGCTACAGTGGGATCGATAGGGTATGCGCGGGACGTCACAGTCGGCCGGAGTAACTGCGGTTACACCCACTGAGTGGCAAAAAGATTGAGCAGCAACATTGGTTTACAGCGCGAATGATGCGGAAAACACACAAAACACATCTAAAACCGGAAAGAGCTTTGAAATTGACTGGATAAATAGATTTGACAAGAAATCGGAGGTATATTTTTACAGACTGCCGAAATCTACATAACAGAGAAGCACAACAGGCAACGAAAAATGGATTTGCAGTTGTCATTTTAATCATACCCTATTTATTATATTGACAACTCATCAATTAAATATTTACCATCATATATTCTTCATAATTGGATCTTTTTAAATAAACACTGACATCAAGTTTTATGGCTGGACGATATGGCGATATGCAGTTTACACCTTATACCCTCTTTGAGTATCGCTGAGTGCCGTTCTGTAGAGACACTAAATTGGTCAAATAAAATGTTGGCCAATCTCTACTGATGCACCTACTTATTTTTATTACAGCTGTTTTTCAATTTTTAGAACGATAGTAAAGTGGTCAACTATAAAAGAACACATTTTACATTATTTATTGACCAAAATATGGTAAACAAATCAATCTATCTTATATTTAATCTTCAGCTCTACACACTGTTCATTCTATCAACTAACTTCATGAGGTGCATTCTATAGGGCACATTTGATCACATGAGCATTTACAATACTAAAGCAATTTGGTCGAATGCATTTTCCACTAGGCTACCTCTGGAAGTGGACAATCTGAAAACATTTACACCTGTATCTAGACCGTATTAGGTAAATGAAGAGGACAGTTAAGGATGAAGTGGGTGTATTTGTAGCCTGTGGGTTGTAAGCTCAGCTAAAATTAGCTATACAGATAGAATCACCCTAAAGGTCACACCGTCCGTCTACTGTATGGATCAGGGTTGCCAGGTCTGCACAACAAAACCCGCCCAATTGCTAATCAAATCTAGCCCAATCATGACCAAAAATAGCTCCAGGTCCAGGGGTGGTGGTGGTGTTCGCTTCAACCTGCGAACTAAACTACATGTGGCAACAGTGTAAAAGTAGCCCAATTGGTATACATACTCTCCTCATATTGCATGCCATAGTATAATGTAGTATTTTGTAAATCGTTTCTCCATCATTATGGTTTCATTAATGTGAACAATTTGCAAAGGTAATGATAACTTTCTTCCAAAACCTAGTGAGCTGCCTGTGTAGCGCTTTGTTGATGTCTACGTAGAGTGTTCCAAATCAATGACTCATGAGGTTCTATTTCAGACAGTAGACAATAACAGCAGCTTACTAGGTTTTGAATCAGAGTGTGTCTTTAGATTTTTGAATTATGATCCTGAATTTAATCTTTTGTTTACCCATTTGTTTAGGTAATACGTACCACAGGCTTTATGAAAGGACTTTATGGAGAAGCAGAGATGAAGTCAGACAATGTGAAGGTAAAACACCAATAAGAATGTGTTTTTCCACTTTTAAAGGAATGTTTAGGTGTGTTTGACATACTACCATTCAAAAGTTTGGGGTGATTTAGTTTTTTTTTAAATTAAATTAACACTTTTATTCAACATGGATGTATTACATTGATCAAAAGTGGCTTTTATATAAGACATAATATTACAGAAAATACAGTGTCACAGTTTCCACATAAATATTAAGGTGCACAACTGTTTTAAACATTGATAATAATATGATTTTTTTTCTTGAGCATCATGTAGGCATATATTATAATGATTTCTAAAGGTGACTCTGAAGACTGAAGTAATGGCTGTTTAAAATTCAGTTCTGTCATTACAGGAATAAATTACATTTTATATTAAAAATAAATGTTCAATTCTAATAATATTTTACAATATTGTTTCTGTATTTTTGCTAAAATAAATGCAGCCTTGATGAGCATAAGAC